TATTTTTTTTAATTAACAAGAGCGTATAAAATTTTCAATAAAATTTATATTGTTAACATTTTTGGTAGAAAATTAATTTCGCTGTGATAGCAATTTCAATCTTCTATTATAAGCATGAAAAAAATCTCAAAGTAAAAAGTTGAATGGTATATAGCCCGATGAATATATAGCGACAATGGTCGAAACGATTCAAATGCAAATTCGTTCGTAAAGAAAGGAAAGAAAAGACAAAAAAGCAATAATTTTTCACTTTGCTCTAAGGAAGTAACAAGCAAAGAAAAAGTCAGGAGCAATCGAGCATTCTCGCATTTGGAGACTGTGGGCTCGTTAATATTGCCAAAGAGCCGGCCGACAACTCTCTCTCAGTGGGCCAGGGCTTCGTGCGAATTTCGCTTGTCCGGGTTTGGCCTTCGTAGCGATGCCAAGAAAGAAGGAACAGGACCGACGATAAAGCCGAGCGAGATAAAGATGGAAGGTGAACGGAAAGGGAGGAAGGAAGGGGGGCGAAAAAAGGTTGGGATCGAAGGGAACGAAGAGAGAAAGAGAGAAAGAAAGAGAAAAAGAGAGAGAGAGAGCACAAGAGAAATGCGTGGGAATTGAACCATGTGGTCGGCCGACTGGTTCGCGAAATATCGCGTTGCGAAAGTGCGCACACACATACATATATGTACATATATATATATATATACGAATTATCGCATATACGCGAAGGCAAAACCGGTGCACATACATATATATATATATATATATATATATATATATATATATATATATATATCATCATTCGAGGTCACATAGAATTTTAAAAATCGCGCGCGAGATAATTAGAGTACCTTTTATGGCATAAAATCATTGAGTTTTCGAGCCATCGACTAAATAGTGCTTCAATAAATTCGCGACCTAATAAAACTGTATCAATATTAAAACGTCTTCATGCAATGAAATAAAATTTATCATATTCTAGATTAAAAATTTAACTAATATTTAATTTTTCTATCTTAAAAACGTACAACAAATGTATCAAATATCAAAGTAGAAAGTAAAATATATTAAGATTAATCATACAAACTCGAATTTTTAATCTTATAATCAACAAGAGAATCATTTTTTTCTAAATTTTATATATCTGAAGATAAAAATTTAAAAAATCATATTTTTTACATCACAAATGATAGAAAATGAATACGATAACGTATGTGCGCACATACGAACGCGCGTTACGTTGAATATGGCACGTGTTTGATTACGCAGCGACTTGCGCTTGCGATCGGCGCGAGATCAGCTGTTAGTTCACACCGCCAATTACGAGTCACGCGACTCTCGAGGTTCTTGTCCCGACTGACACACATGCGCATTGTGTGCCTACCTTTAATCGTCTCACGAGGCTCACCGGCGTTTGACGCCTCGTCCCGTCTCGTTTCGCGCAGTCCACATTCCCTGTTAAATGCTCGATTAACTCTTGACCTCCGCGTGACCATGTTGTCTGAGCGCGTAAATGTTGCGCAATTTTTACTTGATGCTATTTTTAAAGCTGGCGAAATTTTATTTTAGCAATGACTACATTCATCTCCTCTACGTATTTTCAATTTTCATGATTTCAAAAATTCCAGTCTTAAAATTCTCGAGTTTTCAATTTTGAATATCTAATCAAAATTTCAAGTTACAAATCCGTTATTAAAATAAAATCAAATAAATAATATAATTTTATCACATCTATATTTAAATTATATTCTGAAGCTCATGTGTTGAAAAACTCTTCAGATTTAACCGCTCATAATTAAAACCAATATCAAACATTTTCTTTTTTTTTTTTTTCAAGAAAAATTTTTATCTCAATTTTTTAAGCAAATTTGTGAGCATATATGTGTGTCAAAAAACGCGGTTCTCATATGATTGATTTAATATTATTTGCGTTGTAAAATACTAATGCCACGGTTCGTTCTCACGCTCGATCTTACTTTAGAGATTTCACAAGACTATAGGAACGAGCTCGCAGGTAAAGATTTACGAAGGTCCGGTATTCATATCCAACAGCATTGATTATCCTGATTTTCATTTTTATTTATCTTTTTCTCAAAGAAATAATTTCGTATTTTATATTATTTTATGTAATTTTATATTTTATATTGTTAAATTTATATAAACTCTCATATTAATATATATTAATATGATATGTACTATTACTGTATTATATAAATATTAATATAATATATACTATTACTAAATATTAATATAAACTCTCACATAATTGTCTCATAATTCTTAGTTGCAAAAACAACATATTATGACAAAATATATAATTATTATAAATATATAATATTATGACAAAATATAATAATTATTCAATATAATAAATAAGTGTATAAATAGAATGAAAAAAATAATGCATATATGTTATAATACAAAAACACCTCATTTGTATTTTGGAAAATTCAAATTATCTTTATCTTAAACTTTATCTTTCAGTCGTCATGATAATGTTGTTTCGCATTTAAAAATTCAATAATTCATTCATGCAAACTATTCGCATCAGCTGATATTTAACTACAATGACGTCAATGTCTCGACAGTGTAAAAACTAAACGGACGCTGTCACTCATTTAATAATTAAAGCGTGACTAGCTTAAACCGATTGTATGAGAATTTAGTCTTACGATGGGATCGGATACCGACTTTCACATGCTAAAATTAGCCGAAGTTGGAGAACATGCGGCGATTCATAAAAGCCGCCGACAACGGCTTGCGTAATCGTGTCCAAACGCAAAAGAGATTGAGTTTTATTGACGAATTCACCTTGTCAAAGAGAGGTAGGCCATCGTTTCCGGTCCACGTGTCTGCCTGACCCGGCCCGATGCGTGTTGGCTCTAATGTAATAAAACTCTTCCGATCGGATGGTATTGAAACGCCATTCCGAAGCGCGATGTATGCATTTGTGCTCTTTAAATAACGGTTAAAAACGATTTTTAAATACGTACCAAGAGATTCCTTACTTGACGAAAATGTAGAGAATTTTTTTATTTTTCAGCACTATGTACGTGCAAAATTAAGCAAAGAATAAAATACGATTTAGTTATGTTTTTAACGAGCGCCATTGCATGCCAGCGATATTTTTTTAATTGTAAGTCGAATAAGAGTGATTAATATTATTTATATGCTCGCTAATAGATATCGAGTAAAAGGCCCTTATATTAAAAAAAATCATAAAAATATTTTGCAAGACAAAAAATCATGCGGTGTCGATCCCATACATTCGGATTTTCACGGCATTATTATTTCGTTATCATCGTTACTTTTCTTGTATGGTCTTGTATAAAATCTAATACTGCTAAATCAAATCGTAAGTAATTAATCCTTAAATGCATGATATTACTATTTTACTAGTTGAAAATAAATTTGTTAAATTATTTTATTTCCAAAATTGTATTTTATTATTGCTCGAAGATAGATCAGATATATAATAATATCCAATTAAATGCATTTAAAAATTAATCATAATAGAAAAAAAACTCTACTGTAAAAAAATAATTTTATCGAACGTCTTCGATAATTGAAGTTACGAATTCATCCAAGGAATATTGAGATATAATCTTTTGTGAAAAACATAATGTTATTCCTAACAACTTCATTTGGACCAGACTATTGAATATTCATATACTCGCACAACGTCCCAACGATCCGAAATAATCACATATCGATTGAGTGCGTCGTAAGAGTTCTCAAATCTCAAATGTTATTCGAAAGGGCAGTCAAAATCGCAAAGTGGTACTACATTTGCGTGACACCACTTTTGCGATCCTATGGTAAATATCGCAAAAAAGATTTTCAGTTTTATACATTAGTGTGTGCGGCATAAAAGAAATTTATATACGCGCGCCACATTTTACATATGGAATGAAATGAGAATTTCCCAAAATCAGATGCATTTAAAAAGAAAAGATGCCTTGTGGTGTAATGAAACACTTCTTGCACAATAGAAGCAATCATGCCTTAAGAGTCGAATTATTTTCATGCAACAATTTTTATCTAGACTATTTACGCGAAGTCTTTCGACACAATTAAATTCATGTTTTTTTTTCTTTATGCTTTCAGATTCTAATATAAACATTTAAAGAGAAAAATTTTTTTGATGATAAAAATTAAAACATTTGTAAAATTTCATTTTTTTTTTATATTTAATCAAATATCTTCTTTTTTCAAGAAGCATGCAAGTAATTATGCATTCCTTGTTATTTTCTTCTAATGTATCCATGAAAAGCACGAGGCGATGAATGAACGATCGTTATTATTCAAGCTCGATCGCTTCTTCCTCCAGCACAGGCAAAATTTATTGGAGGAAGTGTTTCCTCAATTCTTTTTTTTACAGTGATTCATATTGAATGAGCAAGCGACTCAAACTACGAGAATGACGATGACGATGACACTTTTTACATGGATACAATTCTCATTTCAACCAAAGATTTATTATACGATGCCAAGTATGCCGCGCACATTTTTATATCGGCACACTCGACTTTTCGTACGAAATTAACATATAATGATATAAATTCTTGCGTATTTTCAACCCTGAGCCAGAGTCGTGGAGTGTAAATATTGATTTTTTTCATAATTAAAATAATATAAGTTTGATTGATGTAAAATACATTAAAATGTTTACATATCATATATTTATAAAAAATCAATCCACTTTCTTTGTGTATGTGATATACATATATATCTATAATATATGATAGTAATCACATAAAGAAACTAATTTTATATTTAATTTATAAAATTGTATTTAATATAATTTTTAATACATTTGATATTCTTTATATTTATTTTTATCTATATGCATTAATGTTCTTTATATTTATTTTTATCTGCATACGTTCATTTTTTATATTTTTAATTATATTGCACTGCAGAAAATTAATCAACATTCCACGATTCAACAAGAAAACATGCTCGAAATTCACACGACTCCGGTCAGAGGTTAATATAAAGCCACATGAGAGACTTACCTTAGACAGCTTCTCGCCCTCGTGATGCGGCAGCAGCGTTCTAAGCGACTGGAATCCGGCGTTGATGCTCTGCATACGACGTCGCTCGTTGCTGTTGGCGATTTCTCGCCGTATTCGCTTCTCCTGCTCCATGTGGCTGCGCGGCGTGACACGGCCGACGTTGCTGATACTGTTGCCGTTGCTCAAAGCAGCGCTATGATTATTAATCCGTCGGCCAATTCCGACGTTAGTTTTAGACTGCGGTGGTTGCTGCTCTTGTGTATCAGCGACTTCGGCGACCGTCACACTCGTGGTCACCGAGCCGTCGTCCACCGTCTCGACGCTCCTGCAAACAAATGAATAATAAAGCATATGAGTATGGAATTCTTCTTCACATGCATCGAAATTTTTAACGATGCTTGAATGATAAACCACGAAATAAAATTTTATTCGATGATCATTTCTCATGAATAATACGATGATGATCTTATTGATATTGCGAAAGAATATAAATCTAAGAAGTGTAATGTGTAATTTAAAATTATTTTATTTTGATTAATATCATAAATATAAATATGTTACATTTTTTGCTTAGAATTATATGTATTAAATTTTCTTAAATTGTGCCAAATGATTCTCAAGTATCTTAGATTTCATCTTCACATATAATTACACGAAATGATGATGCTTAACTATTTAAATTTGCGACCCTTGAATCTTGGATCTTTGCGCATTTAAATGTCAATTTATTTTAATGGCCTCACATAGCCAGTTGTGTATATTGTTCGTCTCGTTATTAAGGAAAAAAGAGACATTTCCGTTGAGCGATAAACGTTCACGGTCAAAGTATTTCAGTACAAATATCAAAGAGATAGAGCCACGAAATCAAAGTGACGCGAGCGAGAGAGAACATTAACACACGCGTCTGTTCGTTTGACACACATGACGCGTAATACTCGCTGAGTTTTCTACTGCTGAGTTGGAATCGTACGTCTCGTATCGTAGCGTAAAGGCTTTTAAGAAAATTGAAAACAAGGTGACTTTCCTTTCTTTCTCCCTTCCTTTTGTTTTCATTTCGCCGAACACGTGCGGCTTGTTTACGACGACGGATTTGTAGATAGTTGAATTAAATTTTTCTTTATAAAATTTATATATATTTATAATTTTATAAAAAAATTAATAACACATGTTGTGCGTATATATTTATGTTCTTGATGTTCAACCGCGATAATATTTAATTTTTCAAAATTATGCAAAAAATTATACATTACAAATTATGCTCAGAATAGCATGAATAGACCAATATATATATATATATATATATATATATATATATATATATAATCTTATAAATTTAACGATTACATATAAAATAGTACACAATTATATTATTATATAAATATACATAATTTTATTAATTTTTCATCATTAAATCTTGCTACGTTTTAATAGACACTTCTATCTCTAATTTCATGTTTATAGCGCATGCTGTGCGTAACATGCTTTCATAGGTCGTCACGCAAATAATGGAGGCATAATAACGCACATACGCTATCGAGAGATCGCGAATGGGTCTCATCATAATGTAAAGGTCAGCTGTAAGCACGCTATAACGTGGTGTAAACATCAATTTTAGTTAAAGAGAGAGTATAAAATATTTAGCGGTATCAACATTAAGAGATTCTTTTCATATTTACTGCACTAAAGATAATCACGATTAAAGATAATAGTAATGTACACAGAGTTAGATACACAAATATTTTAAAAGAGTTTATACTAAAAATATTATAATGCAAATTATAATTTTTGATAGCATAAAAAATTATATAATCAATTTTATCAACTTTAAAAAATTAATTAATTAAGAATATTAAATTTGTTAAATTTAATAATATTCTTCAAAAGCAAATTCTTTAATTTTACTAATATTTGCTGATAATATCGAAATAATTTCGTGAAACTATTTTTATCTGAAATTAATTTAAAAAAGCGCTTAGCGAAATTATCAATACCTGCGAATATCGTTATATCCATATATTTTCTTCATCTTGTTCAATCTAAAAGTCATTTTCATATTAAAGTTGATATAAGAAATTTATTTCTTAAGTTTACCGATATTATGCACTTATTTTTGATTACATAATTAAGTTCACTTCGGTGAACTTATAAACAAGTTAGCGAAGTCTTTAATAATGCAATGCTCATTTCGTAACATTGTAGATAAGTTGTAGGTAAAGTTGATAAAAGAAGAAATAACAAACAGTTGAGAAAATTATATGTTAACGAGTGACAGTAAGGAAAGCAATAGGGAAGAGAGTTAAGAGAAGGGGAAAGATCGAGATGGCGGACATACTATAAAGATGACTCAGCAAGGAGGACCGTGACCTTGCTCCTTGCTCCGAAATGTCACATGTCGATAATGCGAACGAATGTGAAAGCTGTTCTCTAAAAATTATTATACGTATTATTTTTATAGATATTTATAAAATATAAGTTTCTGTGTCTTATTTTATTTTAAATAAAAATGTTCTATAAAAATAGAACTTATTAAAATTTGAGTATCTTGAATGTGAATTAAATTTAAATAAGATTAATTAAGATCGATAAAAATATATATAATTGTAAATGAATAAAATCAATAATATATTATTAAAATAATAAAATAGCTTGAAAAAGCTATATATTTTCGACGCAATTTAATAATCTTCAACACAAGAATACTATTGTTAAGAAATAATACTATTTATAAGAATAATATTGCTCATGAAGTGTTAGCAATGTTAGCTGTATTAACAAAGAACGATAAGAGTACGTAAAAATACTAAAAATATCTTTAAATTTCACAATGCTTTATCGACCACTTGTCACATGTCCAATAATTTTCTTTGACAGAAATACTAACAGTTACTCATTCGAAGATGTCACTCAAATACCGCGTAAGTACGACCAATTGTACAAAGGCATAATCGTACATCATGCGCGATGCAATAACCCATGTCACGATCATCTATCAAAGATTTCACAATGGTTGAAGTATGTTGTAATATTGCATTATTCGCATTCTAACTCTCCTCCTACCTGACCTATCGTCATATCTTAAAAAGCAAAAAATTTTTCTCATTGTTGCAATCCGTCGTTAATTTGTAAATTAAACCGTATAGAATGTTGATGACGCGGTCAGACATTTTATAGCTGATGAAGTCATCCATCTGCACATTTCATATTAATTTCAACATTATATCGTCTCTCGTCATCACAGTTATTTTACACAATAGCAGTCGGATTCAATGCCATTCTAACATCAAAATAAATCGCATTTCATTATAGTTTTGTTAGATTTGAAACATGCGTCTTTTCTCGCGGTATAAACGCGAATCAATTGTTCAGAATAACACACACGAGGATTGAATCAGGCCGCGGCATTCATCGACGATCATTCATAACGGCACGTGGAGGTCCACGGAACCAGAAATCCACGTGGCGTACTCTCATCGAGTGGTTATATTAGATCAGCTGGTACGCCGGCGGCTTGCTGGCTGGATGGTTGACTGTCGTGACGTCAGCTCGTTCGTTCGCCGGATACCCGCAGAGCGCTCGCTCGGCCAGATCAGTTGCGGCGAAGTAGGTCGACGAAGTGGATAGAACTGCCTTCCTTTTCACTCTGAAATCCTGCTACTCGTACGAAAAAGAATTTGCATGCTATCGATTTATAGATTACTCTATAACGTTTAACATATTTTCTTCAATTATTACTTCGCTCCTTGTATTGCTATTTTGTGATAATCAATCTGACGATAATCGTTTATATATTTGTCTTAATCAAATACATTTATTATAGATTAACAAATAACAATTAATTGTTAATCTTTATTTTTATCTCCTAATTTTCAGTATTTATAGGTTTCGAATACCGCTGTGCTAACTACAGTTGTGATTAAGCACGTGCTATCGGTTTGTGCCGCAACCGTGATAACCAGTAGTCGAACCCGCAAGAGATAATTTCTTACAAGGTTATATGATACGCTACATATGCCAACGAATTATCTTCGATAAAAAAAGAATTGAAAAAAGCACTTATACAAATCATACGCGCGTATGTACAGCTTAGAAGAATATTAAGTAGCCGGGACAAAATCTTTAATCAACAGTAATTTTTTTTCTCTAATCATATAACACTCCACATTATCTCAAAAATCCTGCTATAAAAAAATTAATCTAGAAAATATAGCTATTGTATTTTAAAATGCATTTCGAATAAATCACTTTTATTTTTTAACATCTCTCTATGTATTATAATAAAAATTATATTTTCTTGAAATTGAAGTACAGCAAAAGAAGCTACTTGAGTCTAACTTTTTTTAAATATTAGATTATAAACAAAATAGATTTTAAATAATTTTTTCGCTATATTTCAATCGAAAGAAAATATCATTTTTATTCGAAAATCAATCAACCATATGGCACCAGGAAGCAATCCACGTATCATGTTCTATTACATTATATCTGTCGGCGATTATCTGCCAACAAATGACTAGACTTTAGAGGACGATCGCTGGGCAGCGCGATTAGTTCTAATTATAACCTCTTACGTTTTAATATCAACATCGACGATAAAAATGAAGAACGTGAAGAGGAAAAAAATGAGAAAAATAATAAAAAATATCCACGCATCGAGTCGCTTGGAGCTTTTTATCCAGGCAGACGAATTTGCGAGTATTCGCTCATAGGTAGAAAAGAGAGCGTCTTGGTGAGAGATGCACACGAACACAACAGCGTGCGCATTCTGGCGCACGCGCGCGCTAATATTGGTTGTGTATGTATATGTGTATGTGTGTGTGTGTATGTGTGTGTTATGCATTAGTGTACGCAGCTGTGTGTCCGTCCGCTCTCGGTCGACTCGCTCGCGTGAGTCACCAACAGCTGATGGCTGGCGCCACTCAGCTGGTTGTTACCGGTGCCTTCGCACGAGCGTCGCTATCTGCAGCCGCCTATCAGCTGCGGCTGACTAGGAAACACGGTCGGAAAGTATGTATATGTCTCGGAAAAAGCGTGGCGAAAAAGTAATCTCTCTGCGATACGCGCGTTTCAGACCCTAGACGATTCTAAATTCTCCAGATAGTCGTCTGGACGACAAACATTCGCTGCTGCTCATAACAAAAATAGAACGACGTCTCTCGTTGCGATATAAATTTATTTTCGTTGATGCGTTTGTATAAATATTAATGTTATATATTAATATTATTTTTGCCGAAATATATGATAATCGCATTCGAGTTACCGCGGTTTTGCGGAGAATCATCCATAATTTTATGTGGAATATGCAAATATACAGCATCATATACATAT